CGAAGCCGAGACTAGATACCCTCAGATGGAGAAGTTGGCTCTCGCTTTGGTCACCTCGGCCCGACGACTTAGACCATACTTCCAAGCCCATACGGTGGTGGTGCTCACTAACTTGCCCCTTAAAAGTATCTTCCACAAGCCGGAAGCTTCCGGACGCCTAATGAAGTGGGCAATAGAGCTAAGTGAGTACGASATCCAGTTCGAACCCAGAACTGCGTTGAAAGGACAAGCAGCGGCAGATTTCATAGCCGAGCTCACACCACCTTCCGAGCTAAGCGAGTCCGACCTACCTTGGACAGTCTATGTCGACGGATCCTCCAATGAGAAGGGGTGCGGAGCCGGGGTCCTCTTGCTCGGACCAGGGGGTGAGCGATTTGAGTATGCCTTGCGGTTCAGCTTCCGGACTTCTAACAACGAGGCTGAGTATGAAGCATTTATTGCCGGCCTGCGAATCGCTCGAGCATTGGGGGCCTCTTGTGTTAAGGTCTTCAGTGACTCCCAGCTAGTTGTGAGCCAGATCAAGGACGAATACCAAGCCAAAGACACCCGAATGGAGAAGTATTTGGGCAAGGTCAGATCATACCTCGCCCAGTTTCGAACTTACGAGGTAAGCCGAATTCCGCGAGTAGAAAATTCTAATGCTGACGCCTTGGCCAAGTTAGCATCGGCGTACGAGACCGACCTCGCCAGGTCGGTCCCCGTCGAGATCCTAGATAATCCCTCGATCTTAGAGCCAGATCTGATGGAGATCGGCGCTCCAGAATCCTCATGGATGGAACCGATCACGGACTTCATTAAGGGTAACTCACCACAAGATCCCAAGGAGCGCAGAAAGTTGGCAAGGCGGGCAGCTCGGTTCGTGATCCGAGATGGTGCATTGTACCGACGTGGCTTTTCCCTGCCTCTATTGAAATGCCTAACCCCTGAAGAGGGCCTGTACGTCCTCAGAGAGATCCACGAAGGAGTGTGCGGCAATCACTCAGGTGCCCGTTCGCTGTCAGCCAAAGTGATCCGGCAATGATACTATTGGCCGACCCTCAGCCAGGACGCCAAGAAGTTCGTTAGAATTTGCGACAATTGCCAACGCTACGGGGCCATAATCCACCAACCTCCCGAGCTGCTCACCCCCATCTCGGCCCCATGGCCATTCGCGCAGTGGGGGGTAGATATCATTGGTCCTTTCCCTTTGGGCAAGGGCCAGACCAAGTTCGCTGTGGTTGCTGTGGATTACTTCACCAAGTGGGCCGAAGTCGAGGCGCTCTCCCACATAACGGAATCCAGGGTCACGTCCTTCGTATGGACGAATATCATATGTCGCTTTGGTATACCGCAGGCCATAGTGACAGACAATGGGAAGCAGTTTGACAACGCCAAGTTCACAGACTTTTGCAGCAAACTTGGCATAAGTCATCTCAGCTCGTCCCCCGCACATCCGCAAGCAAATGGGCAGGTGGAGGCAGTCAACAAGATCATCAAGCGAGGCATCAAACTTAGACTAGACTCCAAGAAAGGCAGGTGGGCCGAGGAGCTACCAGAGGTTCTGTGGTCGTACCGGACCACCCAACGAGAGTCGACGGGTGAGACCCCGTTCTCCCTGGCCTTCGGCTCCAAAGCTGTAGTCCCGGTTGAGATCGGCATGCCATCTGACAGAGTAGAACATTACGAGCCTACGACGAATGAGGATGGGCTGCTCCTCAACCTCGACTTGTTGGAAGAAAGAAGAGCAATGGCCCAGCTACGCTTGGCGGAATATCAGGGCAGAATGACCAGATATTATAATGCCCGCGTTCGACCTCGGGCCTTTCAGGTCGGACATCTGGTCTTAAGGAGGGTTGAAACGCATGTGGGTGCCCTTGATCCGGCTTGGGAGGGCCCGTTTGAGTTCAAGGGCATAGTCCGACCTGGGACGTACATGTTGGCCGATCTGAAAGGAGACGTCCTCGCGCACCCGTGGAACGCGGAGCACCTGAAGCGTTATCATCCTTGAAATGACAAAAGGATTTTCAATGCATCTGTAAAGACTGTTCCAAAAGAATTATGATCGGAATAAGTGTGATGATTTAATTTCATGCTTCCGAGTTCGACAAGAAATTAAATGGGGGCCACGGACTCCCACGCGATCGCATTCCGGCAGTTGGTTCAAATTCAATCCTCCGAAGCCTAAGGGTACGAGGTGCGATGCCAAAACCACTAACGAACTTAAAATTCAAAACCTTCAAGGCAAAGGGGCGATGTGAAAAGTTCAAAATGATCAAGCCTCCGAACTTGGGGGTACGAGGAATGATATGAAGAATAGCTACGGACTTAGGATTTTAGCCTTTTTACCTTTTTCAAGTTAAGGGTGAAATGTTAAAAATCCAGAGTTGATGCAATGCATTGAGTGCTAGACAGAGATTCAAATTCAAACTTTCAAATCATTTTAATTAAAGGCGCGACCTCAAAGCTGCAGTTCAAAGGAGAAGCAAGGAAAAGAGGTTGCCAACAATAAAGTAGAAGCAAATAGGAGTCTCTTTATTGAATGAAGAGCAGAGCCAAGGCTTATAGACCTTGCAGCTATGCCCTGACACTTGCAAACAAAAAAAGAAAAGGGAGGGAGAACAGCGAAAAGCCTCGTGAAGGGTGGCCGCCTAAGAGCCTACCGGGGGAGCGCCCTCTTTAGTGGAGTCGACCTGGTCCTCTTCTGGATCAGAGTAGTCAGAGTCCAGATCTCTGACATACTGATCCACCAACGCTTGGGGGCTAGGGGTGCCGCCAGGCCCAGACGCCCACTTCTCGGCATACCTTCTTTTCAGACCGCTGAGATCGATCTGAAGGTCGGGCATGTCGGAAGCAATGCCCTTCATGAGGAACTTGAAGCCC